TTTTTTGTACATACTTAAACCTGAATTGGAAGGAAAATATGAATTTTGTTTTTGTACTTAAACCTACTAAAATGTTCAACTGATGATATTCAATAAAAAAACACCAAAAGTATTAATTTTGACTTTATTTCTTTTAACTTTGGCATCTATGGTGCAAAAAAAGGTATCAGGTAACCAAAACTATGAAAAAAATAGCTAATTTAATAGTTTATTATTTTTTTTTACTAATTTATTACTGTAACTATCTAAAAGGTACTACTTTCAAAGATTTTTTGCTAGTTTATGTTCTGTTGCTAGGCATTTTTTACGTACGTCGTTTTTACACCAATCGATCGGGCTTGGAACGTTGCATATAATGGTGTTAAAACATCATTTTCGCCAAAATGTGGACTTACCTCTTTCTTGCAGCAATGTCTTCAATTATTTATTAAAGTGCAAAATTTTTAATAATTACCAGCAGTAGCTATGATTGTTGAGCTAGATTTCTCTCCCGTGTTTGTTGTAATTATATCAGAACCCTACAAATATAACAAAAAATAACAAAATTGAAGAGCTTTTTGTACATTGTAGTTGTGTAGTTTCTTAAAGATCTTTCATAACATTTATTGCTATAACAAAATATTAATTACAGTACCTCACTAATTTTCTGTTCTGCCTTGAATTTCAAATTAAAAAGTAACCTCTCTCCAGCAAAAGGAATTAATAAACGTATAGTCTCACTATCCAAGTAAGGAAATATTTCCTCTGTAATTTTTTGATCTTTAACAGGGACAAACAAAAAATATTTCAATGAATAAAAACATATGTTGTACTTATATATATGTAAATACAACTAAACTCATCAGAGCATCAGATTATCTGTAAATACGAGGGTGAGTCAAAAATTATCTGCACTTTTCGTTCTACAATTTATTTATACAAAAATAGGGATTCAATATGTACATACGTCATTTTTCAACAACTCCTCCCTTGGCAATGCACTTGGTCCAGCGGTCCACAAGCGTATTGCTTCCAAAGAAGAAGGCGTATTGCTTCCAAAGAAGGTGTATTTCTTCCAAGAAGAAAGCCACTTTTGCACCGCTTCCTGCAAGCCCAGATCTTGCTCCCTCCGACTTTCATCTGTTTCGGCCGCTCAAGGATGCTTGCGAGGTCGTCAAATTTCTACAGACGTAGACGTGCAGGAAGCGGTGCAAAAGTGGCTTTGCGACCAACCGAAAACCTTCTCGGAAGGTATACGCAAGCTTGTGCACCGCTGGACCAAGTACATTGCCAAGGGAGGAGACTACGTTGAAAAATGACGTACATATTGAACCCCTATTTTTGTGTAAGAAAATTGTAGAACGAAAAGTGCTGATAATTTTTGACTCACCTTCGTACATATATTGTGTATACGCTCTATATTTTTCTTCTCTCAGATATTATACACAGTATAAGTCCCTGACGATATACTATGCATGACGTTATTTGCTACGATTACTTTATGTGATGTAGGTTGTGAATGTCCCAGTCAGAAATTACTCGTCGATCGACGTCGAAATGCTGTCGAATCGACGTCAATATGGCGGTTTCGATGTCAACGCGACATCGTTTCGACGTCGATCGACGAGTTATTTCTGCAGGTTAGGGTCCCAGATAAAAATAGATATTTTCCTTACCTTTGAATGTTTGTATGACTTCCGCACTGAAACCCCAATGCTTCAGCCGTTGAGATACCAGATCTTCTCCCATATTTGTAATTTTTCACATAGAAAATCAGCACAGCACAAGCACGTTAGGAACAACTATCTCACTCTGCCTTACGTTGCCCAGGCACCGTCAATCTAACCTAACCTAACCTAACCTAACCGTCAACAATCACGATCGCGCCACGGACGCGAGCTATTCATTTGTTTCAACAAACGAACACTCAAGTAGAGCTCTTCCATTATTGCCAACGGTTTTCGTTATATTTGTTGGTGTTACTGATGTTATAAGTTCTATTTACAATGTATTTCGTATGTCCAACAGATAGAAAGAACTAATGTGGTTTGTATCGCAGACAATATATGATATGTTCAAATGTCAAATAACGAAAAATTATTCGCAACAGCAACTTATCGATTTCTTTCCTCACCAAATCAGCAAGTAACAAACACGTTTTTGTTCTGATAACTAAAATATTTCTCTCAGTGTGGAGAGCTTGATGCGGAGTGCATCGGCCTCGACATAAAAATTGTAGCAGTTTGGGCCCACCAAAATGTCCAGAACTTGCATTATTTGCATAATACTGCAAATTCCATCATTAAATTGACACACGGCAATGTCAGCACAAAGATCAAGTACTCTTTTACTGCTCGATGAACTCTTCGGTGCGATCAACCACATGGTGGAATTAAAACTTTCGTTGCTGTTCTGTGTAAATCCACCCAAGCAACGATTGAGCAAATCATCTGAACTTAAATCTGTGTACACTGGTTTGATGGCTTCAAAAACCTCTGTTGACATCGCCGGTTTATGTTTATATTCTTCTAATTTTTGTGTAGCTTTTGCTATTTGCCACGTGCACCACGAGTTGGCACCGCTCGGGCATTTGTCGTGCTGAGGTCGTTCATCCGTCGAGATCTTATGATATAGCGTTGCCCATATTTGTTGCTTCATTTTTTCTATTGAATTAGAATTTCTTCTGATTGCTAAGCCGTAATAAATTGCTAATTCATCAATCAGTTTACCCGTTAACTTGCCTTTTCCTCCCAGACCGTGCTTCTTTTTCTTCAAATTTCTTAGCCGAGTACCCATGCGTTTTTGCACGTGATCAATGCACTCTTTTTTTAGCTACAGATACATCACCGTAAGGACATGCATCTAATAACCCTGTGAAAGTTTTGCTGTCGCCATCGCCGATGTAATTGACGTATTTAACGCCATGCAGATTTTCGGAGCGCTGAAACATTTCAATCACAGCGTCTACTTCTATTTTCCCCGCTGATCCTTCGTGATTGGATTGACAGCTGTCAGCATGAGTCTCGAGCCACTCCTGGTATTCTGTAGTACCCTCCTTCTTCTTCCAGTATTCGCAAGATTTACAATACCTAGATTTAACTAGGATATCGATGACTTTGCCAGTGTTCCAACCGGTTAGTGTCACTAAGCCGAAAAGCGACGAAAATCCTCGTTTTCTCCATGTTCCATCTCCGGAGACAGTGAGACCCTCGGTTTGTCCTTTTACATCACTTAATCTCTTCTCTTCTTGCAATGCTTGTTTCATGCTTACCGTACGAACTGCATCTGTGGCTATAGAGATTGTATTTATTATGTTATCGTAGAGTGACTGAAACATAGGCCGAGGTAGATCCATGAATGCACAAAACTTTATTAGACCATTCAAGCCTATACCCAATAAACGCATTGCTAGGACTATTCTTCGGTTAAGTTCGTAAGCATTTTTTATAATAGTGCAATTAGGAATATAAGTTTTGTCGCACACGCCGCAAGAAACTATAATCTTGAAACCCAAGTCGCGGCTGTTCCCCTCGGCGAAGTTTATTTCGTTACCGCACTTTTTACACACAACAAGCTGCGAGATCGCCGAAAAAACAACCGCAAAGTTTATAAATCGGTAACTGTGAGCGTCTTCAACCTTAATATCTTGCGCACAATTCGACATTTTCATTTTTTTGCCGAAGTACTGACGCACTCGCTCTCGGTTTCCATTTCGTATCGATTCAAAGGACGCCGTCTTTTCAAGTTGCTCCGTTTTGTTGCCGTTGTGTTTTGGTACCTTTTTTTGAAGTGTATATTTTCTTTTTCTGATCACTCATTATCACTTTTTACTCGAAACTTTAAAAAATAATTCTAGTTGGAACTAATATATTGTAATATTTGGAAATCCGATACTGAAACGGTCACTGTAGGGTTTATCAATATAAATTGTTTAAAATTTATATTGTAGTTTTGATAATTTATTTATTTAGTTTTTCGTCACACATGTCTGAATCAGAAACACGCCGCTATAACGTTTTGTTGACGACGCCTAGGGGCCGAAGCCCTGGGTCAACTCACTCGAAAACACACGCCGCGATAACGCCTAGGAGCAACAGATGATAATGATCACTATCACTCTGAATCGCGACGAGTTTTTCGCGAAATCGAAGCAGAAAAATGCCGGTCCCCGATAACTTGTTGCTACCTCTAGATACCGAACGGGAGTGGCCATCTCCCCCCGGTGGTCCCGAGAAAATCAATAACTGTTTTTTAGACAAAGAAATAAATAACGTAACGAAGCAACCGTGACCGAGGACTCACGCACCACTACCTCGATCGGCGTATGTTAGCCTGTGCTTGTTGCTACAGGAGCGAGATCGATACATAAATATGTATACATATGTGTACGTGTATATGTATCATAAGGTCTAAATCATTCGTATTATTTTAATCGTGCACGATTTATAAGGGCTTGTACGCAACATACTCCCCTCGTTGAGAGAGTATCGATCAACATTTTGTGTACATTCAGTCGTGTGGTAACGCATGTTATCGCTGACGGAATCGCATACAGATTTCTTTAAGGATGTAACAATTATTACATATCGTTTCGTATTAATGTCAAAATAAGGGCGGAATATAAGCATCGATTAATTAGGTATAATGTTATTCGGGAGAGGACATAGGCACTTCGTATTTCGCTTCATTTCTCCTACTGCGGTTTTGATAGTGGCAACTCGAGCTGCACCGTCTTTGCCTGAGTGTAGTTCGCTGATTCTGCCGAGCGCCCATCGTGTGCATGGAAGATTTTTGTCCTTGATTAATACAATTGTTCCGATGTCGATTTTGGGACCATTTTTTATCCATTTGCTCCTTCTTTGCAGTTCATTCAAGTACTCGAGATACCATCGATTCCAAAAGTCCTGTCGCACCTTCGTGATGTGCTGCGTCGCAGTGCTGCTAAAAAACCGTCGGAAGTTAAGTCACTGACGACCTCAAGATGGACCGACTTTATGGTCATACACACGAAAATGCATACGTAAACTTTTATTCGCGTTCGATTTCGATATTTCCTTTCCTTGATGTGGAATGGTCCACAGAAATCTATTCCGGTATGAGCAAACGGGAATGCTTCTCGTACGCGAGCTGATGGTAAATTCCCCATTTTGTAATCGAATGCACTAGCATTGAAACGGTGACAGCGCGTACAAGAACGTTTGATTTTCCTCACTTGATTTCGACCATCAAGTAACCAAAATCTTTGACGAAGTATATATAACGTGGATTGAATGCCCGCGTGGTAATGTTTTTCGTGAACTTCGCGAATAATTTGGTCTGTCAGGCAATTCCGGCTTGGAAGCAGTATAGGATGTTTTTGTGAAAATGTTAATCTTGATCTTTGGAGGCGTCCTCCAACACGAATCAACTTGTGTTCGTCCAAGAAAGGACTTAATTCTGCTATCTTCCCCTTATGTATTGGACGCGTGGAAGTCAGTCAATTTTATTTCGTTCGAAAATTGAGTAGATTGAAGAATTCTTAATATTCGTATCTCGGATTCGTTAATTTCTGTCGCATCTAACGGTCCAGTATTTTTATTTGAAAGTCGAAACCGAAGACAATATGCGACAACCCTGCACAACTTAGAGTAAGAAGAATATCTTTTAAGTATTTCGCTGTCAAGGTGAATCGTAAGACAAGCATTTCTCCTTAATTCAGTTAATTCGGTTAATTGCATGTTTTCGATAGGCCACTCGCTTTCATTTCTGACTAACCACCGCGGTCCCGATTGCCAAGTGTCGTTTCGTAAGAAATTGTGAGGTAATTGACTCCTCGAAATGGCGTCGGCTGGATTATCTCCTGATTTGACGTGTCGCCACTCATATGAACCAGTCAGGTCTTGTATTTCTACGACTCGATTTGCGACATAAGTTTTGAGTAGATGAGGCGAGGTCTTTAACCATTGAAGAACAATAGTGGAATCGCTCCAAAAAACGACTTTATCAGGTGTGATCTTTAAAGCATTACTCGTTTCGCGGTATAATCGTGCCAGAATCAACGCGCCGCAAAGCTCAAGTCGAGGTATAGTGACGGTTTTTAATGGTGCAATTCGTGATTTAGCACATGCTAGTTTGCAAATGATGTTCCGATGTTTACCAACCGATCGTATATATATGCACGCTCCATATCCGACTTCACTGGCGTCGCAAAATCCATGTAATTGAATATCGCGAAATTCTGGTGCTATTAACCCGCGATCGAAAGAGATCTGACGTATCGAATCCAATTGTTGAACAAATTCTGACCATTCTGTATGTAGGCTTTGCGGAACAGATTCGTCCCAATGTGTTTCGCATCGCCACACATCTTGCATCAATCGTTTAGCGTGTAAAATCACCGGTCCTAATAATCCCAATGGATCGAACAGCTTTGCGATTTCTGATAAAATCTTCCGCTTAGTCACCATACCTGTTGTGGCGGCCGTAGGCGCCCCTACGGAACGGCAACACGGCCACCACAATACAACTCGCGACCGCGCGCGCGACGCGCGCGAAAACATTCAATACGAGGGAGACACCCCCGGAGCAACTCTCCACGAGACGCCGCTAGAAGCCGCATGAAAACAATAACATTCTCGGACTTGAAAAACGGTGAACTACAGTATAAAAGGGAGCGGAGATAAGCCAACTCTGCGAATCGACTCCAAAGATAATTCACAGGACGTATCGAGGACTCATGCGCACCAGCAAGCCGAGAGCGGTAGTTACGCCGAGGAGACAGCCACGAGCGGAACCAGCGGACGGAGCACCAACCACCAACGAGCCGAGCACCGCGGATCTTCCGGGAGTTTCCAGCGCGATCCCGCCTCTCGACGGAGGACCGAAGCAGTCGGTGGAGCCAGCAGCGAGAGTAGGAGCGTCTGAACCTGCAGCGAGCAGAGCAGCGGTAGAACGCCCGGCGAATCGAGCGGCGACTGCAAAACCAGCGACAGCAGAACCATCGCCTCGACGCGGCCGACCACGTTTACCCTGCATAGAGTACCTGCCGTGGAAATTACACAAGATCGAGCTTCCGCCTCCTCGCTTAACGAGACCGCCACGGATATTCATCAGCCCGTGGGATCTACGGGTAAGGCGCTTCACCAGCCCACGCTATATCCAAGCGCGCCTGTTCTCACCAATCTCTCCGTTGCCACCGTCACCGCGATCTCCACCACGCACGGTACGGTGTCAGACGACGCAGACTTCGACCACTGAAGTACACACTCAAGGCACGCAAACCAGAGGCTGGACTACTAGCGAGTCGGACTCAGAGCCTGAACCGGAGTGCCCATACGGCCCCATCAGGGTGACCGTAACAGCCCCTCACATATCGTACCGAGAGCGCAATCGCAACTACCGCGCCTCTCGGTAGATATATTTTTGCCACGCGCCGCAAGGCGCATAAACCAGAGCTAAAACAAACGTTGTATATACCTGTACATAGCTGTAAATATATTTATATTCACATATTCTACTCTCGTCAATAACGGACCTCACTACTGCGATCCTACTCCACCGAGCGAAAACTCCGTCTGCGCAAACGACAACGGGCTAACGAGCCCCCATACCTGTTATTTTAATCGGTTGTGTCGTATAGCATATTTTATCGTCGCGTGTGCTCCAAGAAATACCTAATGTCTTTAACGAGTAATCTCCGTCTAGAACGAAATTGGCATGTAATGCGTTATCTGACAAATCATTGATCGCGCGCGAGTCATTAGATGCCCACTGTCTAATAGCGAAACCACCTTTTTTCAATAGAGCGATTATATCGTCTCTAATTTTCCGAATCTCCTTGAGAGTCTCGGCACCCGATAATAAGTCATCGACATATAAATGATTTTTCAGAACTTCGGCTGCCCTAGGATAGATGTAACACTCGTCATCTGCGAGTTTTTGTATCGTTCTAATTGCCAGGAATGGCGAAGAGGAAACGCCGAATGTGAGCGTATTCAATTGAAATGTTTCTATTTTACCTGCCTTACGCCAAAGAATTCACTGAAATCGTCCATCGTCTTCGTGTACTAATACTTGCCGGTACATTTTCTCAATGTCGGCAGTTATAACGTACCTGTACTTACGGAAACGAATTAAATGTGCAAATAGTGTGTCTTGTATCGTGGGCCCTGTCATTAAAAGATCATTTAAAGATGTATTATTGCTCGATTTCGCAGACGCGTCGAAGACTACTCGAAGTTTAGTTGTACAGCTCGACTCTTTAACTACTGCATGATGGGGCATGTAGAAACCGTCATCGTCCGGATTTTTTACTATCGACATGTGTCCTAAACTTATATATTCGTCCATTACGCGTGTATATTCATTTTTCATAGTGTATGTGAAGCTAGCGTCTCATCTCGTGGAAACTCATTAACTATTGAGAGTTCTGGCTTCTTTTAGAATAGTTCTAGAGTTCCTGATACATTAAACACATAGTTCTGGCCTTTAAAGCCAAAAAATCGATTAGTGCAAAGTGAGACGCCAACTTCACCCAGCGTCTCACTTTGTCCTCCGCCTATTTCGCGACGGCTATTTATCGGATTTCAAGCGCCCTAGAGTTCTACAATAGTTCTAGCAAGAGTTCTGGTGAAAAAACGTTGTTTTTCAATTTTTAAATAA